AGTTAAACAATATACATGTCAAATATTTCATGCCCTCTTTTTTCCACACTATCTATTGCATCTGTCTCTTATACAATGTCTGTACATTCAACTATGTTTCATGTTTATCAGCCATTTGAATTGGAGCGGGTGATGCCAGTATCTAGCGGAATAAAAACACGGTCTTCAAATAAAACAGTGCTACCTCTTGGTGGAGATAGCACCCCGGTTGTACATGCACAAGAACCAGCCCTACCACACATAACCCAAACTCTCGCAGATTGTACCCCTACTGCGATGGACAGAGAACCAGCTTCACCCAATCTAACCCCAACCCCAGCCGATAGTAACCCAATTCCTGTTGACACGGCACTATCTCCACCACAGAGCTCCCAAACAAGAGCAGTTAGTAAGGCAGCTCCAGTGCCCAAAGGGCCAGTACTATCACGGCGAACCCCAACTCCACCGGTTAGTACGCCTATTCCTGCGGAGGAAGCACAACCAGCCAGTCATAGTTTAGCATCTATCGCATTTGATGTTGTTAAATCGTATGTGCGTATCTTCCCATCTTGGAAATATTATACTGAAGATGAAGGGAAATGCCAGTTGCAGGTGTTTGTCCAGGAGTTATGTGTAAGTAATGTTATTCATGGCAATTACTTTGCTTCGTCCCATACATCCTACCTCCATGATGGTTATAATACAGCAAATTTTCCCATTTTTCTCTATAGAGAAGGACCGATTTGGAAACTCAGGATGAGGTAACCTGTGCTAATACCTCTGCTATCTTCAAGAATGCTTGGTGGCAATATCGGAATTACCTGAAGAAAACGTACTTCACCGGCAAAGAAACTCATCAAATTCCCTTACGTTCTCCTGAGACACATTTACTGGACGATGACTGGGAACGCCTTGTTCTGTACTGGTCCCGAACCAAGAATGCGGTAAGGTCTATGAGCTCATTTTCTATTTTTAAGTATTATATTCTTGCGTCTTACTATACTCTGTTCATGTAGAACAAGTGCCTAAACTTGACGAACAACTGTTCTAATTTAAGATTCCATTGCTATCATAGTTCAAAAAAGCGCTAGGCGTTAATTGTGCGTTTTGCCACCGCCTTGCACTTTAGTGACCAAAGCGCATGCTTTTATTATGTACTAGTACTTGGCAATAGAAGACTTGGTAGTTTAATCGTGTCCACCTTACTAATGAACTGGTTCACCAAAATGAGTTTCATATACTAGTACATGCTAAACTTGTTATGTGTCTGCTTGTTTCTTCTTTTAGAATGCTGACAGAATATTGGGGAAGAGTGCCTTATTAAGCAATGGTAATGAAAGTAATGTAAATAAGGTTCAGGATAGTGACACATCCTTGTTGGTCTCCAACAAAGCTGATAAAACAGCTAAGGAAGACTATCTTGAAGACAGCGAGACAACCCCAAAGTCCTGTCTTGGTTTAGTGTTCGAGTTACTGGCCACTACCGCTTGCACAAGCTATTCAAACTCACTGTCTGAATCAGTTCGGTTTCTTGAGTCTCAACTACAAGATGAAAGACATCGATCAGCTGTGCTGCGATAAGAAGCAGAAAGACTGCGAAAGTCCCTGGAGCATTCATATGCATACTTTCTGCTGCAACAGCAAGCGTTGGAGGATTTTAGCACCAAACAGGACAAAGCTAATCAGCTTGCTAAGCTTATTGCCAGCATGGTGGATACCCAGGATAACGTTTCTTGAGCTCTTCTGAAGTTGTTTCAGTTATGCTCTTGTTTTGCTGTCGCGTTTATTTGCACTGGTGGCCAATTTTGACGGCCAGTGTATGTAATATGTTGCTTTGTTCCCTGTATTTGCACAGGTGGCGAACTTTGATGCCCAGTGGATGTAATATGTGTAATAGCGGTAATAGGCTAGCCTTAATTGCTTGCTTATTTATTTCCTTATTGTCTTGTTTAGTTATTTGCTTGTATTCACTGCAGTTCTTTTTCTGTGTTCTTCTAGTGGCCACAATAGCCTATTTTTGGTAACTAGGCCAAAATAATCATGGCAACACAGAGACTGTTGTAACCATGGGCCTCCTGCAGGTCGTATGATCCATGAGCCTTCGTTCGGCCGTAGGACCATTGGCCTTCTATACGAGTCGTACGATCCGTCGGCCTTCTATACGGGTCGTAGGTATCAATGGGCCTTCTACGGGTCGTAGGGTCCATGGGCCTTCTACGGGCCATACGATCCATGGGCCTTCTATGGGCCGTACTATCCATGGGCCTCATACGGGCCGTAGGATCCATGGGCCTTCTACGGGGCGTATCATCATTTCGCCAATCATGGGCCGTACTATTTGTGGACCATAACGGGCCATTAATAGGCCGTATTTGATAACTCTATGAAAACAGCCCAACGGGTTTTTTTTTACATGAACGGCCCAACGTATTAACGGTCCGCAAACGGGACGACTCTAACGACGGGCTGAATTTGGCCCACAAGCAGAAAATGACAATATCGGGCCGTATGTAACCGAATGCTGCAAGTGAGCCCAAGAATCAATGGGCCCTGAGAAGGCTGAAAGATAACTTGGGCTGGAAACGGCCCAATGGAATAACGGGCCGTTAATGGGCATAAAGTGATACACTGTTCATTACGGGCCAGTTTCACCACGGGTCGTTAATGGGCCAAGAGTTACAAAGGTCCTCATATGGGCCGAAAGAAGTCATGGGCCACATATGGGCCGGAAGTTAAAACGGGATGAATCATATTGGACGACCCAGATGACGCTACTGGGCCTAATTCGGATAGGGCGTAACGGGCCCTGGGTTAGCGGGTTGTAAATGGGCTATATGCGAACAGGCTGTTAACAGGCTTTCCGTGGGCCGGCCCGCCACCTTTTGACCAAGTCAAACGGGCCGGCCTTTTCACAGAAATGGGCCTCTGTTGGGCCGTCCCACGTGTCACCGTATCATAGGCGCCTTCGGTCCAATGAGCGGATGACATCTGTCCCAACGGTGAGCCGACACGTGTTTCCTCTAGCCAATGATGATTTTACACGTGGAAAATCCCCATTGGTCGGGGCTGTTAACGGGTTATCGGATTCAAAACCCGACCCGATAGCTTAACGGCGTTTCGTTACGGTGGATGCCACATGTCGGTCACCCTTGACGAAAGCACTTCTGTGACGCGCGATTTATCGTCATGGAAGTGGACACTTCCGTGATGATAATTTTGGTACTGTCATGGAACACTTCTACGACAGCACAGGTATGACTATCTTGATTCTGTCATAAATTAGTCATGGATGTAGATGCATGACAACAAACGCGACCTACTGTGACAAACATGTATCATCACGGAAGTGTATTTTTTTTGTAGTGCCTCCTTTATATACGTGGGCAGGGGCCACCCCAAAGACACACAAGTTTCTCTTAACCGTCTGTGGTGCCCCCCTCCACAGTTACACACCTCAATTATACCATCGTAGTGCTTAGGCAAAGCCCTGCACCGGTAGCATCATCATCACCTTCACCACACCGTCGTGCTGACGGAACTCACCCTCGTCCTCAACTGGATCAAGAGCACGAGGGACGTCATCGAGTTGAGCGTGTGCTGAACGTGGAGGTGCCGTACGTTCGGTACTTGATCGGTTGGATGGCGAAGAAGTTCGACTACATCAACCGCGTTATTGAAACGCTTCCGCTTTCGGTCTACGAGGGTACGTGGACACACTCTCCCCTCTCATTTCTATGCATCACCTAGATAGATCTTGCGTGATCGTAGGTTTTTTTTTTGAAATTACCGCGTTCCCCAACACAAAAGAAATCGGATAATACCCAAAGTAATGTTAAGATGAGCTTTTTAGTCTTCTCTCACTCTTTTTGATACCACACTCCATCAAATGTGCCACACACTGCCTTTGATTTTTGAAAGCCTCATAATGTGCTCTAGCTTTATTGTGAGCACTAACATATTTACCGACATGTGTATCCGGAACACTAGGTCAATCCTTCCAATTTCTAAATCCTACCCTTGTGAATGCCTCAATGCCATTTTTTCGCTCTTGGGTCTTAAAAAGAAAGCAATAGAAACGAATGGCTGCTTCTTTATCAACACTATATTCCAGCCAGTCACCATGCTTCTTGAACCAATTTGCATGAAAGCTTCTTTTTTCAAGAATTTCCTGGGGGTATTTTTTTATATTTATGATCAGTTGGTTGGCATGGACCCACATTTATATAAATCCATCTAGCAGCATCTCTAATGTCTGGAACTAAACTTTCAATAGGTCTCCTAAGACCAAGATCAGGTTCAGTAACACATAATTGAGCACAGGCATCAGTAGAGATACCATGATTGTTACTACCGCGAGTTGACATTGTAGGCGGGTTGCTTGAAGTCGACGGCGGTGGTCCCATTTCTATGGTTGTTTTTTGTGTGGTGTTGATCCAGTCCCCTCAGCCTCTTGACTCCCTCCATGGCAAATGATCGGTGTAGACACCACCATTGCGGACACCAGTGAAAAATAAAACTCTATCTTCATATTCTTTTTGTACAACATAAAATGAAATTATCAACTACTATCTCCGTCTTGTTTATTGCCCCCTTCTTATTTTTTATCAAATTTTGACCATAGATTTGACTAACAAAATGTTAATGCATGTCATCCAAAATTAAATTATTTAATTATTGAAAATACTGATCAAAATATGACGCTAAATATGAGGGGGACTGATAAACCAGGGCAGTACATCAATTTGAGTTCAACAATACCCTAGATATATGACTAGACACACACACACACACACACACACACACACACACACACACACACACACACACACACACACACACACTATTTATGATACTACCACTACAAATGTTATACAGATGGAATATATATTTTTCGTGTAGCCATCTGGCTTCACAGAGTATTTTGTTCGCGGGAAAAGGAGTGGAAAAAACGTGTTAGGTAGACGCGAGGAAATTCGAAATCCAGGCAACACGACCACAGCATTTGAACTTGCAACACCAGGTTACGCGGGCATCGTAAAATTGAAATGGCCGCACGAGAGCCCCCTGCCAGTCAGCTGCCCGGTGAACCCGAGCGTCTGCTTCTCCTCGTCGAACATTAGCAGGTTCTGCTGCATCTGAAACCCTCCGAGCACCACGGCCGGCGCGGCAACGCCGCCATACCAGGACTTGTCCCCCGCCTTCATCTCGACGAAAGCGAAGCACGCCGTGGCGCGGTTCACCTGCGCCATGGAGTTGATGCCGAACACCGTCCAGTTCCTGCCGCCTTCCAGCATCAGCTCGACCGTTGGCACAAAGTAGCCGAACCGCGTCGGCGAAAGCCTGGACGAGTTGTAGCACAGCTCGAACGGCGCCGCAGCCGGTGAGGGGACCCTCGCACCGGTAGTAATCGCACCCTGGCGTTCCATGGCCTGGTCGAACGCGTTGATGAGCGGGCGGTACACGTCGTGGCGGAGCTCCGCGTACGGGATCGTCGTGGAGAAGCCAATGGTGAGAGGTGCGTACGAGTCCAGCGGCACCCGCGCTCCGTCCACGGCGATGCCCCTGCTGGCCGAGATGTAGTAGCCGGGGGATTCCCCGTGCTTGCGGAGCGGGGTACCGCTGCCAAGCAACTCCGTGATGGACCGCCCATTCGCCGCGAAGAGCGGGCCACCGCCGAAGATGGCGACGCCGTTTCCTTGGCCGCTTGGGAGGCAGAGCGCGAACGAGTTAGCGACGCCCTGCGTGCGCGAGACCTGAGCGGGGAAGGCGAGGCCGGAGCGCGCGAGCCCCGCGACGCCGACGGCCCCCACCGGCAGCCCCGCTAACAGGGAGTCCAGCGCGCAGGACGTCACGGCGGTGAACGACACCGGGCCCAACGGGTTCCTTCCGTCGGTGGCGTTGGCGGAGAGCGTGACGCGCGTCATGTCCCCTGACGCGGTGTCGCCGGAGACGGGGTTGTGCGGGTGCGCGGTGCACTTGCAGCGGTAGGGGTTGTGGGCGTCCGGCATGCCGTAGCCGGTATGCTGGCAGTTGGGCGGATGGAAGCGGTGCGCGCGCATGCAGTCCATGTTGTTGCACTCGAGCGTGTCGTGGGAGGCGCCGCCGTCGCAGGTGGACCAGACGATGGGGCCGGAGAGGTCGAGGACCAGCGGCAGCGGGCGGCTGGACTTGACGGGGATGGTGTAGAGGGAGGTGGCGGCATCCCTTGTGACGGCCGTCACGAGCGGCCTGCCGCCGCCGTCGCCCGCCACCGTGCATGCAAGCACAGAGAGCGAGATGGCGACGAGGACGAGGTCCTTTGGTTGCCACATTTTGGAATTTGGACTGGCCTGTGCTGTGCTGTGGTCGATCCAGCAGGTGCCATTGCTAGCTCCTTATATACCGCGCGCGGAGCACTGTGGCTAGATCGACAGTGTGTGTACGTGAGAGACGATGATGTTTGCTGGTTTTCTAACCAAGTTTTTGGCAGGAAGTGGAAGAGTAGAGAGTAGACCCGATGAGCGTGCCGGGATTCTCGTTGATGGCCATGAGCGAGAGCGACAAGTCCACGATGATATGCACTAGTATACTGATCCGGGTGGCGTACATAGTAGACCTAGCTGTCTGATAATTATGGTCAAAGGGTCGATCAATTCATAGAGGAAACTCTACTTGGATCCAGATCTCTCCGCCTCCGCGCAACCAAGAGAAGCTCTCGCACGTGGTTTCATGTGGAATTTGCGTTTCATGCTCTCACGGAGACTGCACTCTGCGGTGTTCTCGCTGCGTGCCGTGAAGGCTGGCCGCCGAGCCACCTCTTCCGTGCGTGTGTGTAGCTGGCTGCCGAGCTCCGGCATGCATGCGTCACTTGGCCGCTGAGCAGGGCCGGTCTTAATTTTGGGGCCCGGGCAAAACTAAAATTAGGGGCCCTTCAATATAATGATGACATGATAGCCAATATGCTAGTTCTCAAAAAAAAGCCAATATGCTAATATATTACGAAAAACATTTCAAGTGCATCAATATTGCATCAAACAATATATGCATATTACCTTAAAATCATAACATTCTGAGATGCATCATTACTAATTAATCTTCATCCAGTAATTTCTTCTCGGTGGATAAAATTGCACGATGTATACTATATAGATTAGGTGAGCATGCCAAAATTTAAAGAAACAACTGGTAATTCGAAACTAATAAAAAGCTACAAAAGTACCCAATCAATAACCATACGGCATGAGTGATGGGTTACCTAAAAAAGTTCTTACCGAATATAAAGTCAAACTCGCAAGATGCAAATGCATCACTCAACAGTGTCCGTTCAGTCCATCATCGTTGTCCTGTCACAATAAAAAAGATGCAATATCGATGTCATCTATGAATTTCTGTATATCATCAAGGCACTTATAGGCTATTAGGCTAACCTTCTCTCCCATTCCTAACGTGGCCGCGCGGACAGCAGAAGACTGCCGACTGCCACCGGGCTTCCCTGTGGCCTCATAGATCCTGTTCGCCTAGCCTGTTCCTGGCGGCCGCGTGCTGTGGTTGCATCCGCTGCAAGGAGGTGAACTGATGGCGATGCGATCAGGCAAGGCGACGGCGCTGTAAGGCGATGAAGCGATTAGGCAAAATAGCAATTAAACTGTCTTGCGCCGGGTGCCAGATCCGTGCAAGTCGTCAGCGCGAGCGTCGTGCGTGATCGGCAGCCGGTGATGCGTCGCTCTAGATTTCAGGAGTCCTCGTTGTGTGCTTATAGCGATCTAGCAGTTGCTACTTGGGCCAGGCCACGCAAGGCAGAACATGCAACATCTTCTTTTTTACTGCAAGCTTGATTTAGAGAAGCACACTTATC